TCGAGACGGTCGCCAGAGCTTCCCAGAGGGCAGCACAGGCGGTGAGGAAGATTGCCGTCGTCGCAGCCGTGGTGGAGATACAGAGAGCGGCGCGCGATCGGTGAGTGGCGGCAGACTAGGAATGACGTGATCCGCGTTTCATCTCGTTAACGAGGCGTCAGGTGCCTGATCTACTTGCCGCGTTTCCGCATAAAATTACATACGCGTTGTTAAACCGCAATGACGCCGCCACAAGTTTGCCTCCCAATCCTTCCATGAATCCTTGCCTTGCGGTTATATGCTCCTCTTTGTTCCAGATTATAATTCTCGTTGAAAAGTCGATAACGAATATTTGAATGGAATTTGTGATGAGATGACAAACTTAAATTTCCCTATAAAATAAAGTTCGACCCGCCGCTGTATCGTTCTATTGCACGACGGCGATAGCGGTGAGAGTGTAGCAGACGGCGCAGCTGATGGCAGTCTTCTTCCTGCAGAGTCGAGGCGGCCGAGGAGAGGCGTCGCGTCATCGCAGGCGAGCGCCGCGCCCGCTATCAGCTGCTAGAGAGCAGACGCCGAGAAGCTGTGCAGAGGCGGGCAGAGGTCGTCGCTGCTGCTGCCGCCGTTGCCGCTGCCGCCGCTGCTGACGCTGTCGCTGATGCTGTCGCTGCTGCGGCTGATGTTGCCGCTGCTGCCGCTGATGCTGACGCTGCTGCGGCTGATGTTGCCGCTGCTGCGGCTGATGCCGCTGATTCTGCCAACAACGATGTTATCGCCACTGCCGTTGTTGATGTCACCGGCACTGCGACCGTCCCTGCGGCTGATGCTGCTACCGCCACTGACACCGACGCTATCGCTGACGCCACTCCTGCTGCTGCTGCCGCTGATGCCGCTGATTCTGCCAACGACAATGTTACCGCCACTGCCGTTGTTGATGTCACCGGCACTGCGACCGTTGCTGCGGCTGATGCTGCTACCGCCACTGACACCGACGCTATCGCTGACGCCACTCCTGCTGCTGCTGCCGCTGATATTGTCACCCCCGCTGTCGCTGCCACTGCCGCTGTCGCTAATGCTGCTACCGCCACTGACACCGCCGCTATCGCTGACGCCACTCCTGCTGCTGCTGCCGCTGATATTGTCACCCCCGCGGTCG